AAACATCTCCCTCCCTTTGTTTTTGCTGGTATACTAACATTTCCCGTCTGTCTATTTGCCTGTCGTCAAGCTCCCTGTCTATCCGTCAGCTCTCTGTCTCAGAGAGCCACAAGACTGTGTCATCACTTTTTACTCACATCTTCAAGCAGAGTATAGCACTTTGTCTGGGTTTCTTGGGTTATCCTAGGTAATTTATACTATGTATACTTGTATTTATGTGTACCTGTGAGACAGAGATTAAAAAGACAGATAGAATGAGGGAGAAAGATAATTAGATAGAATGGAGGAAGGGAAGCAGCATCCGACCCCCTTGTTTTGAACAGGCGGGAGGGGGAGTGAGTAATGAGACAATATGTCATTTTGACAGCTGCCGACTCCTGGTAATTTACACTATGGGGAGGAGGAGAAGGAGAAGGAGGAAGAGTAGGGGGAAGAGGAAGAAGAGGAGGAGGAGGAAGAGGAGGAGGAGGAAGGGAAGAGTAGGAGGAAGAGGAATAAGAGGAAGAGGAGGAGGAAGAGGAATAGTAGGAGGAAATTAGGGGGAAGAGGAGGAAGAGGAAGAAGAGGAGGAGGAGGAGGAGGAAGAGTAGGAGGAAGAGGAAAGAGTAGGAGGAAGAGGAAGAAGAGGAGGAGGAGGAAGAGGAGGAGGAGGAAGAGGAGAGGAGGAAGAGGAGGAGGAGGAAGAGGAAGAGTAGGAGGAAGAGGAAGAGTATGAGGGGGAAGAGAAGGGGGAAGAGGAGGAAGGGGGAAGAAGAGGAGGAGGGGTGGAAAAACTAGTACACTGTTTCTAGGGAACACTAACATTTCTGTCTGTCTATTTGTCTGTCTGTCAAGCTCCCTGTCTATCTGTCTATCCGTCTAGCTCCCTGTCTCAGAGAGAGCCACAAGACTGTGTCATCAATTTTACTCACATCTTCAAGCAGAGTATAGCACTTTGTCTGGATTTCTTGGTTATCCTAGGTAATTTATACTATGTATACTTGTATTTATGTGTACCTGTGAGACAGAGATAGACAAGACAGATAGAAAGAGAGAGACAGATTGAAAGAGATAGAATGAGGGGGAAAAAATAAAACACCATTGTGTATGACACCATGTTTCAGAGTTCCACAAGCTGCAGAACTAATAGGAATATGTTCAGTGACTGTATATGGTATATATTTTTATAGAACAATAATAATAAACAATGTTTTGTATTGTTTGTTTTTGTAAACAAGTTTTGTAAACAATATATTGATAATTATGTTTGTGTGCTTAAATTTTGTTGTATACAACGAGTGTATAAAATGTACATTGCACCTTACTTTGGTCTCATAGGCCACATAAGTTATGTGAAAAAATAAAATAGTGAAAAAAACAACAAACCTTCAAATACAAGTAAACTAAAGTTTACCGGGTGAGCGGCAGTCGCCGCTGTTGCCATACGCGGCTCATTTTCTGCAAACTTCATGCATCCATATCTCCGTAAGTATTGATGGTAAATTTTTTTGTTTATCCTATAATGTTTAGAAAAAAAAACTCTACTTTTTCATAAGAAAAAATAATTTTTTTTTTTTTTGAAATTTGGCCGACCCTGAGAACGAGTTTCGGAGAGGGCCTGTCGACCCTCAAAGGGTTAAACATGTAAATTCTAGCGGCTTCAAATCAAGCGGGAGAAAGCTGGTAGGCCCACATGTGAGAGAATGGGTCTGCGTGGTCAGTGTGCACCACATAAAAAAAAAATCCTGCAGCACACAGTGCATAATGAGAAAAAACTCTGACTGTTTTTTGTATTAAAACGCCGACTTTGAGATGTATTTTCGTATAGTATTTATCGTTGTATTCTCATTTTCATGGTCTCAGGTGATAAAATGGAAAACGTATTACAGAAATAGAGATGATTTTGATTACTTTCATGATGAAAACGACCTTGAAATTGAGCTCAAAGCAGTGAAATGTTCGATTTTTACCAATGTTCAGGAGTAAGCAAATCACACCACAAGTCCAATACACTTCAACTGGGGAGTCTAATATTCTTTGACTAGTGCACTAATATTATTTATACCATTTTTACAATAATGCAGTAGTCTGCATAACAGTAAATTTTGTATTTTTTTTTGTATAAATAAAAAATCAAAACAGAAAGCAATATAAATAAGAGGGGCCTAAGACATGACTAATGAACAGGGAATGTTATTTTGTCCCCAAAATTTGTCTCTTTTGTTTTATTCTGGCCCCTTTTTTTGAATTGGCCAAATTCCCAAATTTTTCGACCATTTTATTATATTCAAATCGGTAAATGGGCGGTTTCTTGTTCAACAGTAGAAAAAATGGTGTTCAAAGAAAAGCTATAAATTTGATCCGGGAACAAGGGAATTGGCCAAAAAAACGGCTCAAAGCACAAAATCGACGATGCTATGTGTCCCCAAGACCGCTAAGCACGGGAGCAAAAATTCCGTGAGTTTTTGCCCAAATTTTCTATTTTTTGGTGTCATTACCTTTGGGGGAAAAGATTCCTATCATTCAAAAGAAAAAAATCATTTTTTTTTTTTTTTTTCCAAAAATTTTATCGACATAAATGACAGTTTCAGAAAGGGGCCTGTGCAGTAAAAAGGGGTTAATAACATAAAAACGGGAATATAATCTAGAGGGAATAAAGTAATTCATTATGTATGAAACGAGGTGTTCTTTTGGGTGTTTTTGGGTGAAAAAGGGCCCAGGAAGCATAACCCGTTCCCCAATGGTGGTAAAGCAGCAGCTGGGGTGCTGGTTTTTTTTTCTGTACCCTATAAACCCAAAACAAGGAGTTAGTAGAATTGTTCACTGAAAAAGGGACCCCTACCCCCAAACATTTCCCCCTCTACCCTGTCCAGCCACCATCACTACCCTACACAACACACCCCATCCACCACAAACACAACACTCCCACCATCACTACCACCCCCTACCACTACACTCCCACCCTCTACCACCCCAAACAAACCAACCCCATCCTACCACCCCTCCTCTATCAAACCACCATCACCCCCACTATCACAACTCCCCACCTACTCCCACCCCGACCACTATCACAACGAACCACTCTGCCACCACCATTTTCTTTTTTGTACAAATTTTTTCTTAAATTATGTGGTTTTCACATTTTTTTAACAAAGGGCTGGCACAGAAACTTTTTTTGGGCCATGGTGACTTATTTTAGCAATTGCAGGCACTAAAAAAGAATGGAATACAGTGGGCCCCCGCTAACGATGGCATCCATAGCGATTTTTTTTCCCCATACCGCTTTCTTTTTAAACGCAAAATTTTTGCCGGCATACCATTAAAAACCCGCCCCCAACCCTTTTTTTTGTCCGAGAGCTCCAATTGCCCTCACATGTGCCGCCCGCCCCTTTTTTACCACCCGCCCCCCGCGGGAAACCAAGCATCACTGGGTATTTCGTTTAAATTTCGTGTTTTTTGGTGCGTTTCTGGAAAAAAGTGACCATGCCCCCCAAAAAATTCTAGTGCCAACCCGGGTAAAAGGGTGAGAATTAGTATGGAAATTAAGAAAGATTTTGAAGGGGGTTTGGGGGGTAACCCGAGAACCATCCCCTTGTGGAACCTTGTGCCTACTTCAAAGATTAAGGAATGTTGCACATGGGTTTTAATGCAAACCCTTTTTTTAAAGAAAATCACCCTGACAAAAGCTGTTGCAAGCCGTGCTGGGACTATTTCAAAGACAATGTTGTGGCCCATTTTTGACAAAACGAAAGGAACGGGGGGTACAGAGCTCTATGGACAGATTTGTTGTGCGACAGAGGTCCAGTGACTCTCAAGCTGGTCCTGTGGCATTAAAAGAAGAAGGGAAGTAACCCCGGAAAAGGACTTGCTACCTCAAGTCGTAATGGAAGGGGATTCCCCTTCTAAACAGTAAGAAGATAATGCTCTCCCCTCCTCCCATCCCATCAATCATCACCAGATCTTCAATAAAAGTAAGTGTCATGTAATTGTGCATGCCTTTTTCAGTTTGTGTGTATTAAAATTAACATTTCATGTGGTAAAAAAAAATTTTTTTCATACTTTTGGGCGTCTTGCACGGATTAATTTTATTTCCATTATTTCTTATGGGGAAAATTCATTCGCATAACGATTATTTCGCATAACAATTATCCCTCTTGCACGGATTAAAATCGTTAACCGGGGGTCCACTGTATTATGAAATGTATCATATGAACTTGTGGGATCATCCTCACTCACTGATAAACAATGACACACTGGCTGGGAATGGAGTGTGAGGCGGCTCGGGGCTGTGTGTATGCGTCCCAGATGAACGACTATTTGCGAGTCAAGCAACGATTCACGAGTCAATGTTTTGATGAAAAAAAGTTACTATTTCCGAAAATTACGACTTTCGAGCCTTACGAAAAAAAGGATCCACTGTATAAGACATTTCCTGCTGTACGCTAGATTTTAATCATCCTTGGATACATGATCCCTTTTTTTTTTTTCCCCTTACTGCAGATGAGAAGAACCTACCTTGCATGTAATAGCCAAATAAGTCAAAGGGAAGAGGTAAAGGTTTTGAGTGCTAGGGGCTTGAACACCCAAGTACATTAGATTGGATTGAGTGGAGGCACTTGTTTTTTGTAGTTTGACTTGCTGTTGGAGTATAAGCAAGGAATTGTAGGGATTCAAGGGAAACAGGTTAACTGGACTTAGAGTCCTAGAGGTGGAAATTCAGTGCCTGTACTCAGCAGGAAGGATAAGAGTATTGTGAGCCAGATTAAAATATGGCTTTTTTTTTTTTTTTTTTTTTGTAGTAGTAGTAGTAGTAGTAAATTTCTGCTGGGGAAAAATGGTTAACTTATGGCTATAAATGTACATAATATGCAGATACTGTAGTAAGGGTAAACAAGAACATTAGAATTGTTGTATTTGTGCTATTGATTCATAGTACATCTCTCATGATAAATTTTGCTTCCTCTGATAATAGCAATACAGTATGTACTGTGTGTGATGCTAATGAAAATGTGTTGTTGCAGGTGGTTGCCAGGCTCCAAGCAGTTTCAGTTGCCCAAGAATCCTCATGATCCTTACCCTCAACTGTATTTGCTGTTTGATCATGGTGATCTGCTACAGTCCTTGGGTGTCTTGCTTGGAGCTCTAGGTGCAGTGCAAAGTGGTGCTTTGATTGCAGATATCAAAAGCTTTCTTGAGAGCATGTTGTCATGTGGTCATGGTATAAACTATATGGCTGCCCATCCTGAGCCATCTACTACCATTGCCAGGAGCTTGGTACAGGTAGTGTTATGATTTCTCTCGTAATTTAATCTTCTGAAATATAGCTCTAGTAGCTATTAACTCTTTCAGTGGCCGTCATGTAAAACTACGTCACGGACGCCAGGGTCCCTCATGTAGTTCTACGTCTTGAGTTCAGCTCACTCGGATATGCTGTGATAGGTAAATTTTGGCCTAGATATGAGAAAATGGGTCTTTATGGTGAGTGTGCACAATATAAAAAAATCCTGCACTACATGATGGATGGTGGGAAAAGCAAAACTGATTTTGTGTATGGTTTAAAATAGCAGCATTGAGTTGTTTTCACGGATGTTATATTATGATTTTATTGACTGCTTCTTGGTATCATTTGATAGAATGGAAGACATACTAATGAAATAGAGATGGTTTTGGTTGGTTTAACCCTATCAGCATCCAGAGGCAAAATTTCAAGGGATGCCGCAGTGTCCAAGAAATTTTGAAAAAAAAAAAAAAAAAAATTCTTAATGAATTAAAGATAATATTTTTGTGAAGGTAATAAGAAAACTTGGGACCTGACGATCTGTTGGAGTGTGAGCAGGGTAATATTTAGTGAAGGGATTCAGGGAAACCGGTTATTTTCATTTAGTCGGACTTGAGTCCTGGAAATGGGAAGTACAATGCCTGCACTTTAAAGGAGGAGTTTGGGATGTTGGCAGTTTGGAGGGATATGTTGTGTATCTTTATACGTATATGCTTCTAAACTGTTGTATTCTGAGCACCTCTGCAAAAACAGTGATTATGTGTGAGTGAGGTGAAAGTGTTTGAATGATGAAAGCATTTTCTTTTTGGGGATTTTCTTTCTTTTTTGGGTCACCCTGCCTCGGTGGGAGACGGCCGACTTGTTGAAAAAAAAAAAAATAAGAAAACTACATGAGTGTATGTAAAGGTAGAAAGTTGAAAGTGAACATAGAAAAGAGTAAGGTGATGAGAGTATCAAATGATTTAGATAAGAAAAATTGGATATCAAATTAGAGAGGAGGAGGGGTATGGAAGAAGTGAATGTTTTCAGATATTTGGGAGTTGACGTGTCAGCAGATGGATTTATGGAGGATGAGGTTAATCATAGAATTGATGAAGGAAAAAAGGCGAGTGGTGCGTTGAAGTATACGTGGAGACAAAAAATGTTATCTATGGAGGCAAAGAAGGGAATGTATGAAAATATAGTATTACCAACACTCTTATATGGGTGTGAAGCTTGGGTTGTAAATGCTGCAGTGAGGAGGCGGTTGGAGGCAGTGGAGATGTCTTGTCTAAGGGCAATGTGCGGTGTAAATATTATGCAGAAAATTCAGAGTGTGGAAATTAGGAGAAGGTGTGGAGTTAATAAAAGTATTATTCAGAGGGCTGAAGAGGGGTTGTTGGTGGTTTGGTCATTTAGAGAGAATGGATCAAAGTAGAATGACATGGAGAGCATTTAAATCTGTAGGAGAAGGAAGGGGGGGTAGGAGTCGTCCTCGAAAAGGTTGGAAGGAAGGGGTAAGGGAGGTTTTGTGGGCGAGGGGCTTGGACTTCCAGCAGGCGTGCACGAGCGTGTTCGATAGGAGTGAATGGAGACGAATGGTATTTGGGACCTGACGATCTGTTGGAGTGTGAGCAGGGTAATATTTAGTGAAGGGATTCAGAGAAACCGGTTATTTTTATATAGCCAGACTTTAGTCCTGGAAATGGGAAGTACAATGCCTGCGCTCTAAAGGAGGGGTTTGGGATATTAGCAGTTTGGAGGGATATGTTGTGTATCTTTATACGTATATGCTTCTAAACTGTTGTGTTCTGAGCACTTCTGCAAAAACAGTGATTATGTGTGAGTGAGGTGAAAGTGTTGAATAATGGTGAAAGTATTTTCTTTTTGGGGATTTTCTTTCTTTTTTGTGTCACCCTGCCTCGGTGGGAGACGGCCAACTTGTTGGAAAAAAAAAAAACTACTAATTTCCACACTACAAATTCTCTGCATAATATTTACACTGCACATTGCCCTTAGGCACGACATCTCCACTGCCTCCAGCCTCCTCCTCGTTGCAGCATTTACAACCCATACTTCACACTCATATAAGAGTGTTGGTACCACTACACTCTCGTACATACCCTTCTTTGCCTCCATGGATAACGTTCTTTGTCTCCACAGATACCTCGCTGCACCACCCACCTTTTTTCCTTCTCTTTACAATCTCACAAAAGCACAGTATCATCAGCAAAATGTAACTGTGTCAACTCCCATTTTGTACTTGATTCCCCATAATTTAAACCCACCCCTCTCCCCAACACTCTAGCATTTACTTCTTTTACAACCCATCTATAAACACGTTAAACAACCTGACAACCAAACCCAGCTTTCTAAGCCTCTAAATTTCTGATTCCTTCCCTGACATGCTTCTTTTCCTTGTCCTCTCTCTCATTTTTGATAATCCCACTTTAGCTGCAGCTTCTTAACTGACACCAATTTGCATTATGAAATGTAACTATCTTTCAGCACTTGTTCTTCCCTCCACACCTCTCTTTTCTTCTCCGTCTTTTTCTCCTTTGATGTCCAGTGCTGTATTACCTTTATGTGTTTAGTTCTTTCCATGAACCTAATAATTTGAGTCCCCAGTATAGACTCCTAACTGAAAGTTGCTCAACTGTATACTGTATTAAGATTACTTCATAATATTTAAAATTATATATGTAATTTATGTTATGGTTTCAACATTATTTCACATTTTAAAAAATTATTTTTTTTTTATTAGCACATCGGCCAATTTCCACCAAGGCAGGGTAGCCTGAAAAAGGAAAACTTCCATCATCATTCACTCCATCACTTTCTTGCCAGAGGGGTGCTTTACACTACAGTTATACAAATAACCAGCACATAGAAGAGAGGAGCTTACAACGACGTTTCGGTCCGACATGGACCATTTACAAAGTGTGACTTTGTAAATGGTCCAAGTCAGACCGAAACGTCGCCGTAAGCTCCTCTCTTCTATGTGCGGGTTATTTGTGTATTGTTCCAGTCATGGTATTGTGCCTTTTTTTGTTGTTTAACTACAGTTATAAAACTGCAACATTAACACCCCCTCCTTCAGAGTGTAGACACTGTACCTCCCATGTCCAGGACTCAAGTCCGGCCTGCTGGTTTCCCTGAATCTTTTCATAAATGTTACTTTGCTCACACTCCAACAGCACATCAAGTATTAAAAACCATTTGTCTCCATTCACTCCTATCAAATACGCTCACGGACCAAAGTTGGACGAACATGCTAAACTTTGCGAGATCATTCCTTGGATATCAGTAGCATGATTCTCAGAAAATTTCACTTATGATAATTTAGCAAATGTCTAAATCAAATAATAAGTTAAACTGGTTATAAATGGGGCCTCCCGTATTTTTAATTATAATATTCCAGCAAGCGTGCGTGAGCGTGTTAGATAGGAGTGAATGGAGACGAATGGTACTTGGGACCTGACGATCTGTTGGAGTGTGAGCAGGGTAATATTTAGTGAAGGGATTCAGGGAAACCGGTTATTTTCATATAGTCGGACTTGAGTCCTGGAAATGGGAAGTACAATGCCTGCACTTTAAAGGAGGGGTTTGGGATATTGGCAGTTTGGAGGGATATGTTGTGTATCTTTATACGTATATGCTTCTAGACTGTTGTATTCTGAGCACCTCTGCAAAAACAGTGATAATGTGTGAGTGTGGTGAAAGTGTTGAATTATGATGAAAGTATTTTCTTTTTGGGGATTTTCTTTCTTTTTTGGGTCACCCTGCTTCGGTGGGAGATGGCCGACTTGTTGAAAAAAAAAAAAATATTCATTAATGTATCTCAATCTGAATGTTAACAATCACACACACACACATAGTTTGAAATACCTACTTAATTGATATGAAACCCATTGACTGATGAAACAATAAGTTACACACAGTCTACAAAGTGAAGTTACATAATATTTTGAGGTCTGTTTCATTGTGTTGCTGGTATAACTATTCATTAGCTAAGCTTTGCTTGAATGATTAAACATTTGCTTTTTTTTTTTTTTTCAGCTAGGAGAGGATGGACGTGAAGAGGGAAATGTTGATACTTCTCTGAATCAGCTGGGAATGCAAATGCTGCACACTTTTCATGCTCTCCAACAGTTAGATGCTCTAGCATTGTTGGCTACTACCCATAACACTGACTACTCTCAAGCAGTAGTTCATTTTAATACCTTAACTTCACTTCTTCTTACGTTGGCTGGCCGTCAGGCTATTACATCATTGTTGAGTGTTGGGAAGAATATAGAAATATTGTTTCCATACCTTAAACTTGGAGCAGGTGATGATCAGGATAATGCACCAACAAGACTTGCTTGTTATGGATATGCTGTGGACCTTATAACACTAACTGTGAAATTCTCAGAAAATGTGGAGATGCTAGAGCAATATAGTGGGAAGTTGCTGGAATTAATAGATTATGAAGAAACAAGAGAGGGACCAAAGTTGGACGAACATGCTAAACTTTGTGAGATCATTCCTTGGATATCAGTAGCAAGATCCTCAGAAAATTTCACTTATGATAATTTAGCAAATCTCTCAAGCAGTTTAAAAGATCAGTTAGAGAAAATTGATAAATTTTCTGGTGAAATAGTTACACACTTGCGTATTATTCAGTATTTAACTGTACCCAAGTATTCTGTGTCTAACCTTGCACCTGAGGACCATAATGGTGAACTTATAGAGGAATTAAAGTACAAATTTGCAACAGTTCAGCTATTCTCTGCAGACTGTCACACACATTTAACAAATTTACTCACTAAGCTTTGTTCCATGTACTCTCAGCCATCTGTCCATAGTTCAAACTTTACTTGTTCAGAAGGTGCTATACTTCTAGCAGTAATACAGCCTACATTGATTTTACTCAAGAACATCCTTACCTATGTTATTCAGGCAAGAAATACCAATTTTAAGGACTTGTCTGCTATTGTTCCTCTCGTGCAAACATACCTCTTGCTTCAGTCTTTCCCTATTGGATCCCAGTATTACAATCAAGCCCAAGAACTGCAGCAAGAAGTTATTAGCATTTTGTTGGTGTATACACAGCCAGTGTACTCAAAGGCAGAAGGAGAAGAAGTACTGGCCAAAAGTCTTTGGACAAAGATGATGGCTGAAGTAAGTATATTTATTCAGTTTTCTTTTTATATATACATAAATTTAGGTTTAACATATTTATAGATGGGGTTGTAAAAAAGTAAATGCTAAGGTGTTGGGAAGAGGGGTTTACCTGGTGTTTACCCGGAGAGGGTTTCAGGGGTCAACGTCCCCACGGCCTGGTCTGAGACCAGGCCACATGGTGGATCAGAGCCTGATCAACCAGGCTGTTACTGCTGGCTGCACGCAATCCAACGTACGAGCCACAGCCCGGCTGGTCAGGTACCGACTTTAGGTGCTTGTCCAGTGCCTTCTTGAAGACAACCAGGGGTCTATTGGTAATTCCCCTTATGTATGCTGGGAGGCAATTGAACAGTCTTGGGCCCAGGACACTTATTGTGTCATCTCTCAGTGTACTCTTGGCACCCCTGCTTTTCATTGGGGGAATGTTGCATCTCCTGCCGAATCTTTTGCTTTCATAGGGAGTGATTTTTGTGTGCAGGTTTGGTGTAAATCCCTCCAGGACCTTCCAAGTGTATATTATCATGTATCTCTCTCGCCTGTGTTCAGAGGAATACAGATCAAGGACCTTCAACCGTTCCCAGTAGTTTAGGTGCCTTATCGTACTTATGTGTGCCGTGAAAGTTCTTTGTACACTCTCCAGGTCTGCAGTGTTGCCAGCCTTGAAGGGGGCCGTTAGTGTACAGCAGTATTCCAGCCTAGAGAGAACAAGTGATTTGAAGAGAATCATCATGGGCCTGGCATCCTAAGTTTTGAAGGTTCTCATTATCCATCCTACCATTTTCCTAGCGCATGAGGTAGATTCATTGTTGTACTCTTTCAAGGCGAGATCCTCTGACATTATCACTCCCAGGCCCTTCGCATTACTTTTCCGCTCTATTATATGGTTAGAATTTGTCGTATACCCTGATACATTTTTAATTTCTTCAAGTTTCCCATATCTGAGTAGTTGAAATTTCTTCTCGTTGAACTTCATATTGTTTTGAGTGGCCCATTCGAAGATTTGGTTGATGTCCACTTGGAGTCTCGCTGTGTCTTCGATGGAGGTCACTGCCATAATAATCCGGGTGTCATCCGCAAAGGAAGGCACAAAGCTATGGCTTACATCTCTGTCTATGTCAGAAATGAGGATGAGGAATAGAATGGGAGCGAGTACTTTGCCTTGTGGAACAGAGCTTTTTACCGTGGCTGGCTGGGACTTTACTCTGTTTACTTTTCCTCTTTGTGTTCTATTTGTCAGGAAGTTGCAGATTCATCTACCAACTTTTCCCGTTACTCCTTTATCATGCATTTTGTGTGTTGTTACACCATGGTCACACTTGTCGAAAGCTTTTGCAAAGTCTGTGAACACTACATCTGTATTTTGTTTATCCTCTACAGCATCCAAGACCTTGTCATAGTGGTCCAATGGCTGGGACAGGCAGGAGTGACCTACTCTAAACCCTTGTTGTCCCGGGTTGTGTAACTGATGGGTATCTAGGTGGTTGGCGATCTTGCTTCTTAGAACCCCCTCAAATATTTTTATGATATGGGATGTTAGTGCTATCGGTCTGTAGTTCTTTGCAATTGCTTTACTCCCACCTTTGTGGAGTGGGGCTATGTCTGTTGTTTTTAGTGTGTGTGGGATGACCCCTGTGTCCATGCTTCCTCTCCATAAAATGCTGAAGGCACACCATAGGGGCTTCTTGCAATTCTTGATGAACACAGAGTTCCACGAGTCTGGGCCTGGGGCAGAGTGCATGGGCATGTCATTTATTGCCTCTTCAAAGTCTTGTGGAGTTAGAATAATATCCGAGATTTTTGATATGACCAAATTTTGGGTTTCGTTCATAAAGAATTCATTTGGATTGTCAACCCTTAGTCTGGGCAGTGGCTTGCTGAACACTGAGTCATATTGGGACTTTAGTATCTCACTCATTTCTTGGCTGTCATCTGTGTATGTCCCATCCCACCTAAGCAGGGGCCCAGTACTGGATGTTGTTTTTCCCATCGATTTGGCATAAGAGAAGAAGTATTTTTTTTTTTTTCAATTTCCTTTATGGCTTTTAGTTCTTCCTGTGATTCTTGTCTCCTGTAAGATTCCTTCAGCTTAAGTTCGATATTTGCAATTTCATTGGCTAGTGCCTCCCTTCGTATTTTAGATATATTGGCCCCACTCAGCAGCTCTCTGACTCTTCACCTTCATCTGTACAGGGAATGTCTCTTTCTAGTTCACATCTTCTCTTTCTTTTTCTTAATAGAATGTGTCTTGAGCAGATCTCAAGAACCACAGAATTTATTTTTTCAAGGCAAATGTTCAGATCTGTGCTGTTTAAGATATCTTCCCAGCTTGTTTCATTTAGAACATGGTTTACTTGATCCCATTGTATGTTTTTGTTATTGAAATTGAATTTCGTGAAGAGACCATCATGACTGCTCACATTTTGCTGGTCAGGAGCCCTGTGCATACATGTCTGTACCTCTATTATGTTGTGATCTGAATGTATTGTCTTTGATACAGTTATATTACGTATCAGAGCATCATTGTTAGTAAAGATGAGGTCCACTGTATTTTCTAGTCTTGTAAGTTCTACTATTTGCTGGTTTAAGGTGAATTTGGTGCAGAGATTTAATAGCTCATGTGTGTGTGAATTTTCATCTGAGCTGCTTCTTGGGGTGATCTCTGCTAAAACATTGTTTGCTATACTCCTCTATTTTAGGTGTCTCAAGTTGAAGTCTCCTAGTAGTAATATGTTTGGGGCAGGAGTTGGGAGATTTTCCAGACGGTGGTCAGTTTTCTCAAGCTGCTCCTGGAATTGCTGGGAAGTTGCATCTGGAGGCTTGTATACTACCACAGTGACAAGGTTTTGGTTTTCAGTCTTTACTGCCCAAACTTGAACTACATCATTTGAGGCATTTAGTAGTTCTGTGCAAATGAGTGACTCTGTGACATACAGGCCCCCCCCCCCCCCCCCCCGCCCCCCCCCGTTATTGCCTGTTTAGTCTATCGTATCAGAATAGGTTATAACCTGGGATCCATATTTCATTGTCATAATGATGCTTTATGTGGGTCTCTGTGAATGCTGCAAACATTGCATTTGACTCTGTGAGCAGTCCCTTGATGTAAGGAATTTTGTTGTTTTTTGATGGCTTTAGACCGTGTGTGTGTTTGCAAAGACAAATGTCATTGTATTGGTGGAATTTAGGGGGATTTTATTTGCTGGCTCTAATATCTGTTGTTCTGGAGTAGAGGCCAATGTCTGTGCCTCTGCTCCAGAAGTGTTTTCAGTTGGTGTAGGATTATTGTCATTTCTGGCCAGTCTTTTTTCCCTCCTGGTCCTAAAAAAAAAAACTGTCCCTGAAGAGGTTGTGGCTCCCCTCTTATTTTTCCCATAGTCTGGCTGGTCTGTGTCTTCTAGTCCCCTTTAGATGATATGCCTGGCAGTATTCATTGTAGCATTTTCTTTTATGGATTGATGAGTGACACATTTCTGGGTGAAATAAGTTACGGGAGAGGAAGTTGCACTCTCCTGTTGTCATGTGGGTGTGGCATTTTTTGGGATGGTCAAAGGTACATGTCCCACCTGTTTTACCATATGTATATACTGTGCCTGCAGATACCCAAGGCATAGTATTTACATAGATTGTAATTCTGTTTGCTAGGATTTATTGTAGCTGCATTCACTGCTGGTGCATTTTTACTGTTTCCTCCCTATCTTTCACCCCTGTATGGACATCAGTGCTTCCACCAAGTTTTGCTGGTAGTGTGTCAACATTATTCCCTGAGGCATCATCCTATTTTGATCCATCTCCAGTAGTATCTCTATTTTGAACCTCTGTGGACTGAATAACGTTGTCTTCACTGTCCTCCAGGACAACATTCAACACTAGTATCTTCACGAGCACTGTCTTCTAAGACATCACTAGAACCCTCGGGAGCACTTTCCTCCAGGACAACACTAGCACCCTCAGCACTGTCCTCCAGGACAGCACTAACACCCTCAGGAGCACTGTCCAAGACAGCCCTGTCCCTACCACCCATCTTATTTTACCATGCTGACATATCTTTCAAAAGAATCTTTTATTGGTGTTCTTGTCTTTTAATACAGATGTCATTTCCTCATACAGGTGTATCTCATTTGGGCAGACCCAGAAACATCTCTCTTGAGTTTGTCAAGTGCAGTCACTAGTTTAAAATCCCTGCATATACCATGGGACCATTGACCACAAAGATGGCAAGCAATCCAGGCCTGTTTTTGTCCCTTACCCTTTTTGCAGACTACACAGATCTTCATGGTGGTGGTTAAATTATGGAGAATTAAATACAAAATGGGAGTTGACAGTTACTTTTTGCTGTTGATACTTTGCTTTTGGGAGATTCTAAAGAGAAGTTGCAAAGGTTGGTGGATGAGTTTGAAAGGGTGTGTAAAGGAAGAAAGTTAAAAGTGAACATAAAAAAGAATAAAGTGATGAGAGTATCAAATGAGTTAGGTAAGGAAAAATTGGATATTACATTGGAGGGACAGAGTATGGTAGAAGTGAATGTGTTTAGATATTTGTGAGTAGACATGTCAGTGGGTGAGTTTATTAAGGATGAGGTAAACCATAGAATTGATGAAGGAAAAAGGTGAGTGGTGCATTGAGGTATCTGTGGAGACAAAGAATGTTATCCATGAAAGAAAAGAAGGAATATATGAGAGTATAGTGGTACCAACAATTATATGGGTGTGAAGCATGGGTTGCAAATACTGCAGCGAGGAGGAGGCTGGAGGCAGTGATGTCATGCCTAAGGGGAATTTTTTTTTTTTAACACGTTGGCTGTTTCCCACCAAGGCAGGGCGACCAAAAAAGAAAGAAAAACACAAAAAGAAAGAAAAAACTGTCATCATCATTCAACAATTTCATCACCATTCATTCATAATCACTGTCTTTGCAGAGGCACTCAGATACAATGGTTTAGATGTCCCTGCAAACTGCCAATATCCCAGACTCCTCCTTTAACCCCTTGACTGTCAAAACCCCAAATCCTGAGGTGTCTCCTGGTGTCGAAAAATTTTTTGAAAAAAAAAAAAAAAATCTTATGAAATGATAGAGGATCTTTTCCCGATGGTAATAACACCAAAAGAACGAAATTTGATGGAAAACTTATGGAATTACGCTCTTGCGAAGTTAGCGACCTCAGCGATATTTACGAATTGGCAATTTCGCCCACTTTGAGCCATATTTTCGGCTGATTCCATTGTTCCAGTCGACCAAACTCATAGCTATTTCTTTAGAACTCCATTTGTTCTATCGATTGAGTACAAGAAACTGCTGTTCATCAGTCACATCTCCAGGCCCCTCTGATATTACTCTTGCTTTCTATTTTGAATTTTTATTCAAACAAAAAATAGAAGATTTACTGTTATGCAAACTACTGCAATATTGTAATAATTGTATAAATAATGTCAACCCATTCATGACTGCATATTAGAATGGCTAGTTGGACATTTATTGGACAATGACATCATTTGTTTACTTTCTAACATTGGCAAAAATCAAACATTTCCCCTACTTTGAGCTCCATTTCAAGGTTCTTTTCATAGTAAAACCAATCAAAATCACCTCTATTTCTATAATATGTTTTCCATTCTATCAAATGAGACCAAGAAAACGAGAATACAACCATAAATACTATACGAAAATAGACCACAAACTCGGCGTTTTAATCCAAAAAAATGGTCAGTTTTTTTTCTCATTATGCACTGCGTGCTGCAGGATATTTTTTTATATGGTGCACACTGACCACACAGACCCATTCTCTCACATGTGGGCTTACCAGCTTTCTCCTGCTTGATTTGAAGCCGCTAGAATATTTGAGTATATACGTCAAACACACTGGCTCGTAAGACGTATATATACGACCGAAACAGTCAAAGGGTTAAAGTGCAGGCATTGTACTTCTCATTTCCAGGACTCAAGTCGGGCTAACTGGTTTCCCTGAATCCCTTCACAAAATATTACCCTGCTCGCACTCCAACAGCTCTTCAGGTCCCAAAAGCGATTCGTCTCCATTCACTCCTCTCTAATACACTCACACATGCCTGCTGTATGTCCAGGCTCCTTGCACACAAAACCTCTTGTATCTACTCCCTCCAACCTTTCCTAGGATGACCCCTTCCCCTCCTTTTCTCCACTACAGATTTACATACCCTCCAAGCCACTTGGAGGGTGCAACTGACCAGACCACCTCAACAACCCCTCCTCAGTCCTCTGAATATTACGTATAGTAACTCCACACCAAATTTCTTCCACTAAGTGGGAGAATATTTGACTTCCACTGTCTGGGGGGAATATTTGACTTCCTCTGTTTGGAGGAATTTTTGACTTTCTCTGTGGGGGAGTTTTTTTTATCTTAAATGATTTTTTCCCCAAATAAAAAAAAAATTCCCAACTTCAAAACATGAAATTTGGCTGGCCAGTTTCCATGATTCCTTACATATCTATTATATTTGTCAGAAACTAGGAGGGTGTCAGCACCCATAAACCACTTGTCTCTATTCACTCCTGTCGAACATATGAATATAATAATTAGTGTTTTAATTTGAATTCATTTTTGTAAAACGGGATTTTATATCTTTAGTAAGTTGTTACTATGAATACACAAAAAGAGGCATTTCATCCTGGTTTCTTAATTGAGGTGTGAATTAATAGTACTTGAGGTAGGACTTAAAAGTTAGAGCTTGTTGTTCAGATCTAAGGTACGGTAGCTGAAATAATGTTTAATGCGAGGAGTATGTTACAGGATATTCAGGGGAAGGAGAAATATTAGTAGAGTACCATCATAGAAGTTAAGATGTTGTGTGGTTTTAACCCTTAAACTGTCCAAACCTAGATCTACGTTCACATGCATAGCGCTCCGACCTTGATTTTCCACATTTGAAAGCATGTAAAAAAAAAAACATAGATCTACGCTCTGAGCCCCCCGTACACGGGCGTAGATCTACGTTTGGACAGTTCAAGGGTTAAAAATAGGTTAGATAAATAAACTAGTGGGTGTGGGTGGGTGTGAGTTAGACCTGACTAGCTGGTGCTACTGGATCAGAAGCCATGCTCCTTCCTTAAGTGGAGGCGACCTGACTGGTTGGGCCATTGGTCTAAGCCAGGGGTTGACATGGACCTGCCCTGCATGGGCCAGTAGGCCTGCTGCAGTGTTTCTTCTTTCTTATGTTCTTATGAAACATTCTACAGATTTGTAAATGCCATTTAAGCCTTTCTTTCAAGCTTTGTCCATGATTTTATTCCAAATAAGATTATAAAAACTCATAAAATTAATCAAAATGTTATTTTTTTTAAATCTGGTGCTGCATGCTTCTTCAACTAATGTGTATTTTCTTAAGGGCATTAATATATTAAAAGTGATGTAATTTTATGAAAATTTCTTACATTTAATTTATGGTCTACTAGTACACCACATGTTTGACTAAATTCTTATTTGTAGTTAATTGCATCAAAGGTAGGCTACTAACCAGCTTCACATTGCTCTTATTAGCAATGGCATGTTCAAAACTTTCCCAGTAATTAATAGATGATGCATTGCCCCATTTGGTCATTGATCATTTCCAGTATTTTACCTTATGCCTTGACATCAGTTTCGGATGACTGAGCAGGTGGAATGTAAAGTATTAAATAGCTGTGTGTGTCCATTGTTCTTTATTTCAATGATTAATGAGTTTATATTTTGAAGTTTTTTGGTAGTGTTAAGTATTGGTTTTAGGTATGATTTAACTGACAACATAACTTCACTGTCAGCTCTGGTTTAGCTCTTGCAAAGACTGTAATGATCCAGTGCAACCTTTATTTTTTCTGCTTCTAGCAGGATTCAGTTATGCCTATAATACTGGAATTTTTTCAGTCCAAGACTCTAGGTGTGAAACCCTGTTTTATGTGATGTGTGTATTCACATAAAAATATAAAAAATAAAAGTGAAAACACATGAATTTAGGGAATCAGTAGCATTTCTGCATTTATCCAGCTGTTGAGTTCAGCTCATTATTACTAGAAAATTTGGCAAAGTTTTTTTTTTTTGTTCAAAATACTTTTAACTGATGTAGGAATTTATCAAAATGTTTTGCATCTAGTTCATTAAGATATCTATGTATAGTAGTAGTTACAGCATATTCTTGAACTTTATATCTGTAGAGGATTGAAGGGTGATAAATCATTTAGGTGATACATCATTTAGCATAAAATATTGTATACAAATAAGAGGAAGTATTATAGCCTCACCTACAGATATGCTTTATATAATTTACCCCTCATCTTCTACTTGCATTTCTTATAACATATTTTTTAAGCAATCTGTGAATAACTTAGACTATTTTAAAGTTATAAACTCACAGAAAATTAATTTAATTTTTATATTAAAAGTGCATATTTTCCAACAGGTCTTCAAGTACCTCTTAACTGGCCCTCATACATTTTTGGGAGTAATCAGCTTAATCATAGAGTTACTGCCACTCCCCTTGCCTATTCAGACCCGTACAGCACTGTCAGATGAGGAGTCCTCTCAGATTATTAATCTTCGTAAACTATGGAGTGCTCATCTTTACTGCCTTTCACCCAACATCCATGAGATCATCATGCGTTTAGGGCTGACAAGTTTTCCACCTTTGATGCATCTCTTACGTCGAATGTGTATTGCTCTCTCTGACCTTGCTGCACCAATGGCGCTTCTAGTGGGCCGTGCAATTTTGGATCTGGTTCTTCAGGCACATCGATTGGATCAGCGGGCTTCTGGGGAAGACTTTGGACCTTGCTCTTTACAAACTGGCCGCGTTCTCAATATGCTGGCTCTGTTAGTGTCTCATGCACCTACTAAAGCTGCTGTACTTCACCTTCTGAGGGGAGGCTCTCCCACTTTAGCTACAAATGTAGCCAAAGGAGAAGACAAGTATACTGGCTTGGTGGCCCTGTGGTGCCGTATCCTAAATGTTGCTGCCAGTGGGTCTCATGCTCACATGCAAGCTCAAGACTGCATAATTACAATTATTCAGTATCTTTGTGATCATGAAAATGCAATGCATGTTGCTCAGGAATCTAACATGCAAGGTGATATACAGAGTATTACACCAACAGTTCTAACACTAAGTGGTGTACCAAACAAAGATACTTTGATTCCTATTGTGGATGCATTGATAGACCACCTTCGGAACCTGCACAGTTCACATCAGTCAATCCAGCAAGTACTCAGAGCTTTGATGCACCTTATGGAACATGACTATGGATTCTACCACATCAAAAGGTAATGCATATTATGTTTAATGCATATAATATTTATTTAAATTTTTTTTTAGAAATTTTGGAAAAAATGGGAATGTTATATAATTGATTTTTTTTACGTAAATAGCATACAGGTTCAAAGAGTGATGCAGGAGTCTATAATTGTAGAAATGTTAGGGAAAAAGTATAAATATAAGTGTATGTTGAGGTGTCATGGACTTAAGGAGAGGATTGAATGGATGTGTATTAGTGAGGAAAGTGTTGAGAAACTCAAAAGTTAGTTGTGACAAGTAGTGAGTTAGTATGGATGTGTCATATACTAGCCAAATAAAATAATTACTAAATTTGGATCATGACTATGGTTCTGTATGTTTAATTTTGATAACTAATCAATTTATTGAATTTTCTATATTTTTGATGTTGATATGAATTTTTTTGTATTTAAAGTTTGCTAAAAAATTTAAAAATAATAATCCAAACAGTTTTTAATTGCATTTTTCCAATTTTTTCATAAACTGCATTAGGTGTGGTGATGACAACCACCTGGGGTACTGCCGTCCTCCAAGGTGTAAACGAAAGTCCTGTAATTGATGCACCTTATGGAGATTGCTAGGATTCACCCTTATTTTTCTGTCATCATGATTAATGCAAGATATTAGGTAGTTTTTTAATTTTGACAATTGGATCATATAATTTTTTTTTTCACATATATACAACCCCTCGGGTTTATCATTTCGTTCTACATCTTATATTTGTTAGGATAAGTCTTACTCCATGGAAGTGTAATGTTAGGGTATGATTCTCCCGAGATGACATGGTGTGTATAGAAGTGTTGAGAAAGTGTGGCAGTAGGGTTAATGCCGTGGTCATAAGGGCTATAAAAACCTCTACATTTAATCATATTAATGAAGGAATTGTTAATTTTGTCTATCCTTTTGGATTTTCATATTTGCTGTGGAGATTACATTTTTTTGTTTAAAGCAAAAAATTTTAAAATAATGCAATATTTTATTCATTTTTTCCATTCAAAACTGCATTAGGTTGGTAGACAGCAACCACCCAGGGAGGTACTACCCCTGCCAAGTGAGGTAAAACGAAAGCCTGTAATTTTTTACATGATGGTAATATTCTGAGGTTTTTCTTGTCTCATAAATATCAAGATTTCGGTACGTCTTCTACTTTACTTACACTTAGGTCACACTACACATACATGTACATTTATTTATACACACTATCTAAGTTTTCTTTGATTTTATCTTAATAGTTCTTGGTCTTATTACTTTTCCTTTTATATCCATGGGGAAGTGGAATAAGAATCTTTCCTCCGTAAGCCATGCGTGTTGTAAAAGTCAACTAAAATGCCGGGAACAATGGGCTGGTAATCCCTTTTCCTGTAAAGATTACTGAAAAGAATAAGAAGAAGAAAATTGTCAAAGTGGGAAGTCTGAATGTGCGTGGATGTTGTACAAATGATAAAAAAGAGATGATTGTGGATGTTATGAATGAGAAGAAGCTGGATGTCCTGGCTTTAAGTGAAACGAAGCTGAAGGGGGTGGGAGAGTTTCAATGGAGAGGAATAAATGGGATTAGGTCAGGGGTTTCAAATAGAGTTAGAGCTAAAGAAGGAGTAGCAATAATGTTGAAGGATAAGCTATGGCAGGAAAAGAGGGACTATAAATGTATTAATTCAAGGATTATGTGGAGTAAAATAAAGATTGGATGTGAAAAGTGGGTTATAATAAGCGTGTATGCACCTGGAGAAGAGAGAAGTGTAGAGGAGAGAGAGAGATTTTGGGAAATGTTGAGTGAATGCATGGGGAGTTTTGAATCAAGTGTGAGAGTAATGGTGGTTGGGGATTTCAATGCTAAAGTGGGTAAAAATGTTATGGAGGGAGTAGTAGGTAAATTTGGGGTGCCAGGGGTAAATGTAAATGGGGAGCCTTTAATTGAGCTATGTGTAGAAAGAGATTTGGTAATAAGTAATACATATTTTATGAAAAAGAGGATAAATAAATATACAAGGTATGATGTAGCACGTAATGAAAGTAGTTTATTAGATTATGTATTGGTGGATAAAAGGTTGATGGGTAGGCTCCAGGATGTACATGTTTATAGAGGGGCAACTGATATATCGGATCATTATTTAGTTGTAGCTACAGTTAGAGTAAGAGGTAGATGGGAAAAGAGGAAGGTGGCAACAACAAGTAAGAGGGAGGTGAAAGTGTATAAACTAAGGGAGGAGGAAGTTCGGGTGAGATACTATAAGCGACTATTGGCAGAAAGGTGGGCTAGTGCAAAGATGAGTAGTGGGGGGGTTGAAGATGGTTGGAATAGTTTTAAAAATGCAGTATTAGAATGTGGGGCAGAAGTTTGTGGTTATAGGAGGGTGGGGGCAGGAGGAAAGAGGAGTGATTGGTGGAATGATGAAGTAAAGGGTGTGATAAAAGAGAAAAAGATAGCTTATGAGAGGTTTTTACAAAGCAGAAGTGTTATAAGAAGAGCAGAGTATATGGAGAGTAAAAGAAAGGTAAAGAGAGTGGTGAGAGAGTGCAAAAGGAGAGCAGATGATAGAGTGGGAGAGGCACTGTCAAGAAATTTTAATGAAAATAAGAAAAAAATTTGGAGTGAGTTAAACAAGTTAAGAAAGCCCAGGGAAAGTATGGATTTGTCAGTTAAAAACAGAGTAGGGGAGTTAGTAGATGGGGAGATGGAGGTATTAGGTAGATGGCGAGAATATTTTGAGGAACTTTTAAATGTTAAGGAAGGAAGAAAGGCAGTAATTTCATGCACTGGGGAGGTATACCATCTTTTAGGAGTGAAGAAGAGCAGAATGTAAGTGTGGGGGAGGTATGTGAGGCATTACGTAGAATGAAAGGGGGTAAAGCAGCTGGAACTGATGGGATCATGACAGAAATGTTAAAAGCAGGGGGGGGATAAGGTGTTGGAGTGGTTGGTACTTTTGTTTAATAAATGTATGAAAGAGGGGAAGGTACCTAGGGATTGGCAGAGAGCATGTATAGTCCCTTTATATAAAGGGAAAGGGGACAAAAGAGACTGTAAAAATTATAGAGGAATAAGTTCACTGAGTATACCAGGAAAAGTGTATGGGTAGGGTTATAATTGAAAGAATTAGAGGTAAGACAGAATGTAGGATTGCGGATGGGCAAGGAGGTTTCAGAGTGGGTAGGGGATGTGTAGATCAAGTGTTTACGTTGAAGCATATATGTGAACAGTATTTAGATAAAGGTAGGGAAGTTTTTATTGCATTTATGGATTTAGAAAAGGCATATGATTGAGTGGATAGAGGAGCAATGTGGCAGATGTTGCAAGTATATGGAATAGGTGGTAAGTTATTAAATGCTGTAAAGAGTTTTTATGAGGATAGTGAGGCTCAGGTTAGGGTGTGTAGAAGAGAGGGAGACTACTTCCCGGTAAAAGTAGGTCTTAGACAGGGATGTGTAATATCACCATAGTTGTTTAATATATTTATAGATGGGGTTGTAAAGGAAGTAAATGCTAGGGTGTTCGGGAGAGGGGTGGGATTAAATTTTGGGGAATCAAATTCAAAATGGGAATTGACACAGTTACTTTTTGCTGATGATACTGTGCTTATGGGAGATTCTAAAGAAAAATTGCAAAGGTTAGTGGATGAGTTTGGGAATGTGTGTAAAGGTAGAAAGTTGAAAGTGAACATAGAAAAGTGTAAGGTGATGAGGGTATCAAATGATTTAGATAAAGAAAAATTGGATATCAAATTGGGGAGGAGGAGTATGGAAGAAGTGAATGTTTTTAGATACTTGGGAGTTGACGTGTCGGCTGATGGATTTAGGAAGGATGAGGTTAATCATAGAATTGATGAGGGAAAAAAGGTGAGTGGTGCATTGAGGTATATGTGGAGTCAAAAAATGTTATCTATGGAGGCAAAGAAGGGAATGTATGAAAGTATAGTAGTACCAACACTCTTATATGGGTGTGAAGCTTGGGTGGTAAATGCAGCAGCGAGGAGACGGTTGGAGGCAGTGGAGATGTCCTGTTTAAGGGCAATGTGTGGTGTAAATATTATGCAGAAAATTTGGAGTGTGGAAATTAGGAAAAGGTGTGGAGTTAATAAAAGTATTAGTCAGAGGGCAGAAGAGGGGTTGTTGAGGTGGTTTGGTCATTTAGAGAGAATGGATCAAAGTAGAATGACATGGAAAGCATATAAATCTATAGGGGAAGGAAGGCGGGGTAGGGGTCGTCCTCAAAAAAGTTGGAGAGAGGGGGTAAAGGAGGTTTTGTGGGTGAGGGGCTTGGACTTCCAGCAAGTGTGCGTGAGCATGTTAGATAGGAGTGAATGGAGACGAATGGTACTTGGGACCTGACGATCTGTTGGAGTGTGAGCAGGGTAATATTTAGTGAAGGGATTCAAGGAAACCGGTTATTTTCATATAGTCGGACTTGAGTCCTGGAAATGGGAAGTACAATGCCTGCACTTTAAAGGAGGGGTTTGGGATATGGGCAGTTTGGAGGGATATGTTGTGTATCTTTATATGTGTATGCTTTTAAACTGTTGTGTTCTGAGCACCTCTGCAAAAACAGTGATAATGTGTGAGTGTGGTGAAAGTGTTGAATGATGATGAAAGTATTTTCTTTTTGGGGATTTTCTTTCTTTTTTGGGTCACCCTGCCTCGGTGGGAGACGGCCGACTTGTTGAAAAAAAAAAAATGAATGTTTTGTGCTGTTTTATCCTTTTCAGTATAAATTGTTCAAGAATTGTAGATTTAATAATTACGAGCTATTTTAAGCAGAATTCCAAATGAATGCCAGAGTGAAGGGAGGGAGAAATGGAGGAATGGCGGAAGGATGTTGAGATGAAGAAAGAGATGGATGGATGAATGCATGTAGGGATGAAGGGCTTGATGAAAAGATGAAGGAAGAGATTGATGGATTAGGAAATGATGGATGAATGTAAGAATGAAGGAAAGGAGGGATAGATAAAGGAAGGGCTTGATAGATGTAGGAATGAAGGAAGGAATGGATAGA